CTCCCATCTGGGTGTGTTTCCTTTCAACTTCAATGTGGTGGTGTACAGAGGCCAAATGCCAAAACAGTTATCCTTGTTCCAAAATTTCTAGTGCTGACTGTATGTTTAAATGAAGGAATGCTATAACCCTTCCCTAGAAGGTTTTTGATAAATCTTTTGCTTTTCTATTTTGATATGTGAATCCTAAATGCATGCCAGCATAGTACATGTATCTCCTAGATGAGGTAGGGGTAGGGAGTGCAGTGCCTTTATGACAGGGGTGTGCAGGCCAGAGTTTTGCACTTCAGCTGGATATTGTTTGGTGAGAAGCCTAAAGATTTGTGGTGAGCATCAGATAGATTATATAATGCAGTAAGAAGTGTGGATTGAAACATTGATGGATCAAAGACCAAGATAGTTGTGTTTCACATGGGAAATGAAGTGAATGATTACAAGTTATACATAAATGGTAAAAAGCCAGAACAAATTGATGAGTTTGATAGATTGTTTACTAAAATCCATAAAATGAATGGAGAAATTTTAAAATACACTTAATGCTAGTAAGAAAGATAGTGGATAGTATTTGGTACATGCAAATACTGAATGTTTGTCAAAATAAATGAAAACTGTATTAGGATGTCTTTCTACCTAATTTAGTATATGGAAGAGAAAAATGACTATGTCAAAGATAAAAGTAAGTTGAATTCAGTAGGAATAGGATATTTAAGCATGTATGGTAAAACAAAAAGGGTGAAGAAAGAATGAGTGGTGAATAAATGTAGATTGAATACAAAGGTGTTCAATTTGAAAGAAATAGGCTGAGGTGATTTGGTCATGTTGAGAGAGTGAAAGATGTTCAAACTGCAGAACAGGGAAGGAAGAGTGAATGGGTCAAGGGAAAGGGAAGGATTAGAAAGTGTGGCAGGAGGGAATTGCTGAGGTTCTGGAAAAACATAAGTGTAAAGAACAAATGGCAGGGTATGGATATAGTGGAAGCACGTTTTACAGGGAGAGAACAAGGGGTACAGTGTGTGGTGTGTAACCTAGTTTTAGCTGTTTCTTTTTCATGTCTGTCTGTCTTACTATTACTTACTTCTTTTCTGTGCTATGCATAATGTTGCTTACCCTGAAAAGAAATAGAGTGATGGTTAGTACGTATGTTGCTCTGATGCATGTTTTTGAATGAGTATTTCCTGGATCTTATACATTGTTATGTAGTAACACTTACTAGATTTGGAGTTTAAAATGAACCTATTGTATGTATTATCTATACAAAAGGGTATGTATATGAAAACATTTGATACTCTGTACCAGAGCTGCATATAGATCTTGCTATTAGCTATCTGCAGCTCCTTATTCCCCTTGAAAAGATACTTTTGAAAATCAGGGCATTATTGGAGCATTAGATTGACTTGCTAGATTATGGTGAGGAAGGAGAAAAAACCTACTTTTCGCATTTGCAGTAGACTTTCAAAAAAGAAAGACTGGGTGCAAGTACCTCTGGATTAATTTTGTGATATTTCCATTTCAGTTGGCTACATACTTGGTCTAGGAGACAGACATGTACAGAATATTCTGTTAGATGAAGAAAGTGCAGAACTTGTACACATTGATCTAGGTATGTATCAAAAAAGGAGATCAAGTGTTTAGCTTTTGACATGAGTCCCATTCAGGCATCATAGAAACAGGAGGGTTCGCAATTCTAATTAACTCTGCTCTTGCCAACCTCTTTCTCCTGCATATATTAACATGCAACGTGGTTGTCTGAAGAAGAAAAACCTTCATGTGTAGGAAACAGTACATCATTGCTTGCATTAAGGCTTTTTACCTGAAGGATAACGATATCACATGAGCAATATTGATGTAAGGAGGGGGCAGACCAATTCTTCTTCATTTCTAAACATCTGCATAGGGCTTTACCATTGATTGAGTCATAGTGGAAGCAACAGTGTAAGATGATAAAAAATAAAATGAAAAAATGAAAAAAAATTATATAATGAACTCCAGAAACATTGACTGGATTGGTTATATTCTTCCTCACCCCTCTTTTTGAAAAGAGACTACAGGTAGTCCTTGACTTATGATGGCAACTGGGACCAGAATTTCCATCACTAAGCAATGCAGTCATAAAGCGCGACTGCATCACTTAGCAATGCCAATCCCTGCACTCCATTTGCCATTATCAACTGAATCCCATGGCCATTAGTCATGGCAACGTTCTGCCGGTTTCTCACAACCAAGTCAGTGGGGAAGCCAGCAGGAAGTTGCAAGACCCAGGTAGCTTGCAAGCAGGCCGGTAGGCAGGTAAATGGCTGCTGCCAGGTGCAGGAGAGTGCAAGAGTGCAAGGGAAGGCTCAGCAAGGCTCAGGGAAGGTGGGAGGGGGGTGCGAGGGAGGCATAGAGAGGGTTGGGGAGGGTGCCCCAGGGTGCAAGGGAGGCATGGCAAGGGTCAAGGAGGGTGCGCCAGGGTGCACAGGGATGTGTGAGGGTGCAAGGGAGGCACAGCAAGTGTTGGGGACAGTGCATGGGTGTGCACAAAGGTGTGAAGGAGGTGCAGTGAGAGTTGGGTGTGCGGGGCTGCACAAGTGGCCAGCGTGATACTAGGGCAGAGAAGCTAGGGGAGAGTGCATGAGTGAGGGAGACTTACCCCAGTGACTTGCAACCTTCCCTGCCTGCTTCCCCATTGACTTTCTGGGGAACCTGGCCAGGAAGGTCGCAAATGGCGATCACATGATCATGCGGTGTTGCAACTGGTCTTAAGTGCAAGCCAGTTGCCAACTACCAGATTGCAATCACGTGTTCGCAGGGGTGCTGGAATAGCTGGAACTCCAAAGACTGGTCATAACCACCATTCATTCATTGCTGTCATAACTTCAAATGGTCACTGAACAAATGGTGATAAGTCAAGGACTACCTGTAATTTAATAGTTGATAAATGCCAGGCTGGAAGAAACAAGCTGGAATTAAAATTGCAGGGAGAAACATCAACAACCTCAGATATGCAGACGATACCACCCTAATGGCAGAAA